CCAGCTAATCTAACGGCACACATCCGACTGTTGGCTGGGATTCAATCTATCAGGGCAGCTTCAGCCCGGGGACTCAAGACAATGCCGACGCCAGGTTGACCTGCATTTGAAGCTGCATCATCGCCAGACAGGCGCAATGAGAATGTGCCACTCGTGTCGCATGTGGGGGATCGCAGGGTTAAGCACGGAGCTCGAATCTTGCAGGCGGGTTCCTGATAAACAGCAAATACCGATCGATAGGGTCTCTAGTGTGCGAGCAAGTGCTGCCTGTTGGCCAAGCTGTAGCAAAGTGCGCACGTTGTGGCGTGCCAGTTTGTAGTGACTCGAGGACTCCAAAGGAAAACGGATGAACTGACGTTGTCCGCTTGGTTGAACGTGGACTTGTCGACTGGATTAGAACGACGCTCTGCTACTCTGTGAGTTGAAACTATAAGATACGCGACTATTGAAGCAAGCTGGGGGAGGGCCAAGAATTGGTGGATTGAAATGGGGGGATACAAGTAAAGTTGGAGCGGGACGATAAGGATGAAGAGGCGCAAGAAGGGGGATAAGAAGACGGGAAGGGCTGAGCAGTAGCATCCATATCCATATCCACCCTGTTCGATGCAGCAGATAGGGCACCGTTGATTATACTCTGCGACGGCCAGCGCATCTTGATATTGTCAGAAGAAAGGTTCATTGTATTGCGTGGGCAGAATACTGTCAGGTTGCTCACGCTTAGACAAAAGAACGCTTAGGGTTCTCAACCAAAACCTTTGGTTCAAAACCTTACCGCAAGGCAGGGGTTTTGGCACGACTACAGAGAGCCAGGTTTATAAAGTAAGGAGCCACCCTCACTCCAACCCCCAACCTGGAGGGCCAGGAGACTGAGTTTGTCTGGCCTCTAACCATTGGCCAATCTGGTATGAGTGGCTCTGAAGGTGCAAAACAGCACCGCTCAGCATAGCTCAATGTATAAAAACATCGCACCACGTTAAGGTGCAGTCTCGGTGTAATGGACTGGGCCTTATCACATTGCTCTCAATCATATGTGGAGAATGTCAGTCCAGGATCGGTGTTCGATCTGAAGTTTTGTTTCTACTCTGACCATACTCCCTTACATTCCCGCATTACTCTTCCTGCCTCGGCATTTTTCAACTTCGGACCTGCTTACTCGTCAACCACATTCACAACCTGCCAAGCAAGAGTATCAGTATGAATTACGGCGTCAGCTATTACTGAATCACATGATAAATTAACCCAGTACAGACTGCGATCGCCTACAGTATACACTTGTAAACTACTCTGTGTCGCTTGCCCGAGCATTTTGAGGGAATTTTCAGCCAACTTTGTGTATCGGGATCGCTAGTTTTTTGCCTGAACCTAGCAAAAATGATGACGTAAGAAGCGACACCGCAGGCGAGACTCGGAGCGAGTTACTTTTTCTGAAGCAGAACAATACATCTGTCTCACTTGTGAAATAATACCCCGAGAAAACACTGGAAGTAGGACGTAGCGAACAAGCTTGTTTTCAATGGATCATCACCAGGCTAGTAAAACCACAATTATATAGGTCAAAAATGAACACGTGAATTACATGCGTTAATAGATCAAAACATGTCGTCAATAAGGCTGTGTGATTAGCCCGACCTGTGAGCAGTCAGGGAGAATGGCGTGCTAGGTCTGCTTACTTGTGTTAGTCTGAGACCAGGGTAGACACAGCGTTTGCGCAAAATTCTTCTGTGCGCACAACTCCGGGTTATGGAGCCGAGTTACGATTGCCTCTGCTGTCGACAACAAACGGCATCCGACAGCTCTCGTGTGGCATCTTGGCACACATTAGATCGGTTGGAATGAATCTTTTGCGTTTATTTTGTAGTTCGTATCCACTGAATGTGACAATACTGCGCTCGTCACTGTATAGCTAAACGGGACAATGCTCTCTATCTCTTACGGACAGTTTCCTGGTCGTTTTTCCAATATACCTTGCTCGACACGAGCAAGAGAAATTGTATACACAAAAGGAAATTTGCAACCGGGGTATCCTGTCTTTGAGCTGCTGGCGCACAATTGGTGTTGATGTGGAGCTTACACGTAAGTCTGCCGTAAAGTACGTTTTGGCAGTGACGAGAGTAAGCCTTGTAGTAGTTCGCTGCATTATCGCGTCACCCTTATAGAGTAGGGATAGGTATATTAAGCGCTTCTCTACGGAAACTGATTTCCTCTTCGGTACTTGCGGTTCCATGTGCTTCTAAATGAATTTCTCTGGGTATCCATTACGTTCGAACACCCTTCGGATGAACCTTAGCTCCTCAGAAACCATATCTTCTGTGGATACTCCTCTCTCTCTCAGTGAGACAACGGACTAGATTACGCTTCTGGCTGATTGAAACAAAACTATGCAACTAGGTGTATTGCCCATTCCATGTTCCCTTTCTGTTTGCTCTCCTCCGCACTGTCCCGTCTACTACCCTATTCATCTGGACGTCTAGAAAGTCCAAGGAGTCGTAATTTTTTAGTTCGAGAGTAAACGTTATGTTGTTGTGCGCGGAGTTGAATTTTGCCAACAGATCTTCAATATACAGCCCATCGTCCGCAATACAAAAGATGTCATCTACATATCGACCATAATAAACCAAACTGTTGATGAACTCCTTCAATTGGTTGCTTTTCAATTTGCTCATGAACACGTCCGCGAGTAATGGGCCTAGCGGCGAATCCATGGCCACCCCATCTATTTTTCGGTACAGTGATCCATTAAATTGAAACTGGATGTTTCTCGTTCATGTCAGCAATAGTTGTCTTAATCTATCTGGCGGGATACCGACGTTGATGTTGTGCAACTGGATGAACTGACATAGATAATCTACAGTTTCTTCCAGTGGAACATTGATGAAAAGAGATACCACGTCTAATGAAAACATTTTCCGCCCGGTTAGTTCAAGGGGTCTCACTGAGTCGAGAAACTCAAAACTGTCCTTGAGACTGTACTTGGCTATGGCTTTTCGGGCTGGTTCCAGCGGTTTGACGAGCTACTTGGCGGTCTAATGTTACGGCGAGTTGCGCATATCTAGTATTGGTCTTAGTGGTAGCCCTTCCTTATGCACGTTTGGCAGGCCGTAAAGTCTTGGAATCACCGTTCCACTCGGCCTGGTGTATTCGAATACATCAAAGTCGATGATATTTTCTTTTTTTAAGCAATGCAAAATTTCATTATGGACTTCTCAATTGCCTGCCTGTCATTCTCGTTAGGCACTCTTCGAAACTTCGATCTATCCGTAAGGATGGCACACATCTTTCTGATATAGTCTGACTTATTCAACAGAACGACCCTGGCTCCTTTATCCGGTCTAGGCAACAGTACATTCTCGTTTCGCTTGAGTTCCCTGAGGGTGTCTAGATGTTCCTTCTGCAAAATATGCTTGCCATATCGTTTATAACTTAGATATTCGTAACGGGTGTTGACCATTGTCGACTTATACTGTTCAGCTGCCAAATCTGACGACGGCGTAAGTGTAGCTACTTGGGAATAGCTGAGAGTAACTGTTTGACGTGATTCCGTGGGCAACAGAATTTCGGACCAAGCGAAGAGACTCGAGTATTACCTTGTCTAACTACAGTGAGGCGAAATTGTATAGGTATCTTTCAGGATCAGGTGGCAACAAGTTCGGTGGCTTGCTCGCATTGAGCTGCTTCTGCAGTGAGGCTATTCGTAATTCCACCTGCTGTGCTACGATTTGCTGTACGTAGGATTCAAATGCATCGTACTCCTCAACACAGACTCTCAAATGCGACAAGAAACGCATCGATGTGTTTCTTCTTCTGCCAAAGCAGACTGACCATGAATGACATAGTGGTGTCTCCTGCTCCTCCTCGGATCAACCACCTGTTAAATTAGAACTGTACGAAATACATGACTTCCCTTGGATCTGACCCAAGTCCTATTCAATTGTTGCCGAATGTACTGGGGCCTTGCATTGCACGTTTTAGTATGTGATTTGCACCCTCTGATTGGAAAGACACTGTTATAGGGCTGGACCGACTCAGCATCAATTCTCGCTGTCACCGACTGGTCTACTTATCTGGCCAGCTTTTATACATTCGGCGGCCTCATCACCCCGGGAGTTACGCACAAATTGTTAAAACTCATGTCCCTTTTTAAATTCTCCGCTACTTATGAAGATCTTGGGATGTAAAGTTAGTGGTTACGAAAGTGGTTTTCTACGCTGCTGTGTAACCATCATTGTTGGTTGCTGCGTGCAATGTTACTGTTACCAGGTTGGGAGCCGAATAAGTATGTATGTACATTTCTCGACTGTGCGAGTTACAGTCCAAAACATGGACTGATCATATGGTACAACATGATCTCATAGTGCACATGTTATTTCAGATTTATCGCAAGAGTTCAAAATCAGGTATATTGGGAGTTCAATTGGTATAAATGGTCGAAAGGTGATTTTAAAAGTAGGATGAAAGTGCCTATTGAAAAAGACACCATAGAATTAAAACAGCTAACCGTTTTCGTTCGTTACCTAGTGTTCGGAAGCACCTCTTTAGAGGGTCTCGAAATCAAGCTACTTTAGTTGCATTTCATGTGCCTCGCATGTCTTCAGGTCCGTTGCCTGGACATGTAACCATACTGCTTCTAGTTGGTTGAAACTCCGAGGTTTCCATTCATCGCCGTGGCAGACGAGCGTGACTAAACAAAATGAAAGACACATTTAGTGTCTTCTGTCTTTTTGGACGGGCACATCTAGATCGTCCACATCAGTAGCTGGCTTTCTTATCGCGTACGAAGTCAGTGACTTTATTAAATTCATCTCCTAACTGCCGGCTATTGACTATTTCATCTGACTGCTTGGATTCTAGCTTGTTCCCCTTAAAGATTACTATTATTGCTGCTGTTGTTATTATTTTGGGTGTGTCATAGCAACTGGGTCCACCGCACCTCATTGCATGGACCCCGGTTGATGAAACAAAAACCGAACTATTTATTGCCATCTGCTTTTTCTACTCGTCAGAATTTTCCCAAATGGTCCGATCCTTGGTACTGAATCGGGTGTACGTGGTCGTATGCCTGTGCATTTGCGCTGAAATGTTCATGATCATCGGCTTCGCATCGTTTCTTCCCAAATACCTAGAAATGGAGTACCATATCTCAAAATCCACCGCCAGTATGATAGCAGGTATGTTTATCTCTTTTCTTTGCATCTTTATTGTGATTGCTTCTGGCATTTCTCCGGAATCAGTTCATCTGCATGGGTATTTTCCTCTTGTGCTTAACGATGAATACTTCTAGCATGCATTTGTTTTATCGACTTATGCCAATATTCGATTCTAAGAACGCAGTTCTTCGCAGAGTACCTTTTTCGACAAATCTCTTCATGTTGGAGCACGAACACCTGATGAAGCAAAAAAGGAATAGTGGAATCACGACAGTTACAAACTCAAACGTTCAGTTGCGCACTTGTTCTCCGAACTTGGCAGTTTGGTTGCAAACATTTCATCATCATGCGAGGTGGCATCACATGGTGGTGAAACGTTTGCAACCAAACTGCCAAACTCGGAGAACAATTCCGCAACTGAACTGCCCACCCAAGCTACCAATATTCCGAAACGTTTTTGCCTGAAACGTCTTGATCGATAAAGTTGTCTATCCTTTCAGGCTACAGAGCGCGTGTTGGTTGATCGGTGGAATACCAAGCCCATCACCCGATTGCTGTCAGCATATGAAGCGATAGACGATAGCAAACTAATTACGGGTCAAAGTAGCAGAAACCCCTGCAGCAAAACCCTCTGTTTGCATGGTTCCCGTTGTCTTATCCTAATGGCGGTCGCTTCGGCCGTACACAAAATTTGTTTTTTAAGGCCTTTGGGGTACCGTTTCCGCATTACGTATAGTATTTTATAGGCATCAAGTGCCCTAATTTGGTGTCCACTTTCGACCAGATATTCCAGAATGGAACTGTTGGTGCAACTAACGATGTCTTTCCGCAAAGCGGCTGGGCATTGCTCTGCTATGTGTTAAGACAGACGTCTGGTTGTGCGTCCAGCGTACCTCGCACCACAGGTGCAAATAAACTGATATAGTATGTAGGCTTAGGACTGGACAGGATGTCTTTGAGACGTTGTGATTATCCTTGACATTTAGGCCATTAGTCTCTACCTTGCTAAATTAACAAATGGGTCTATATTCCGGCTACGCGAGAGCCGCTTTCCATTGGTGACTAAGCAGCACCTATATACATAACTGCTACCTGATTTAGTGCTGCAGATTATGGCTCCGCTGGTCAATAAATCCGCATTTATTGACAAAACGGAGTCATGCATGTCTCTCACGCATCCCCACTTGATGTGTGGTTCGATGTCCGTCTGATCTTCGTTCCTAGCACCCGTTTTGACTCTCATGACAAACTGGATGTAGACTGACAGCTAACTGTATCAAACGATCATCACCATTCATGGGCTCTCTGCTTTCTGAGACCAGGCAAGTGATACCTGGTGACTCATTAATTCATCATAAAAAACGCCAATTAACTCACTGGTAAGATGTTAAGATCCTGACTAATTATCGTAAAGTTTCACATCGGTCTCAGCCCTCCTCATCATTTTCGGCTGCGTGTCAATCTCCACATCGTCATAGCATTACCGAGCTTATGCCCTTGAAGCCATGACCCCCCGTTTCAGCTGCGCTAGATGGAACCAATAAGAATGCACCGTTGGCGAATTCCAATGCTTGTGCAAAATGTGGTTTAGGAATGCCAAAAATCTACCTTCGTTCTTCGCGGAGAAAAATGGATCGTTCTTACCGGCATCATATTGTGTACTTTACGCCCCCAGAGTGTTAATACACTCACCTTATCCTGCGCACCGCAGTACATGCAATCTTCATAGTACATCGGTATATTTCCTTCCATCATTGTGCGCCAGATTTATGCCCCTCTAATATCGGAAAGCTGGACCAGTCAAGCCACACTGGTTTGACAAGGAGTAAGGCAAACTGACTCGACGAATACCTTAGCTATGGAATAAATTCGTGCAATCTTGCTCTGCTGAAGATTAAGAGGTGTACGAGAGGCAACGAAATGCCTGCAACAGCGCGAAAACGAGCAAAGAAACTTCGAAGAGCAGCTTGCAACCGCAGCAAAAACCGCTCCCAAGAGAATGTTTGCATACGTGAAGCGACGCCTGAAGCCGACAAGTGATGTGACTGTGTTGGAGCGCTCGGATGGACAGCCACTAGTTTCCAACACTGAGCGTGCTTCCGCATTGGCGACTCACTTCGCTTCCGTTTTTGCAGATAGCGTGGCGTCCGTACCCAGTTTGACTCAACTCGCCCCTACCGAGCTGAATTGCGGTATTGAGGATGTGCGCAAATTGCTTGGCAGTCTTGACGGTACCATGCCTGCCGGACCTGATGGCTTCCAGACGTTGATCATCAAATCGCTACTAGCCATTATCTCGCCTTCGGTGATAGCTATTCAACAGATCGCTGTGCGCCGGTTCATTGCCAAGCGACTGGAAATGCTCAGTGGTCAAACCGATTACGAAAGGCGGCGATCCGAGCAAGGTGAACAACTACCGGCCGATATGTCTGATCTCTGTTTTGGCTAAGACACTTAAGAAGATCATGAAGCGTGGTCTTCTGCAGCATCTCGAGTCCAAAAGCATTTTGACCCCCGCGCAGCACGGTTTCATGAAATATCGGTCATGCATCAAAAACCGGCTGTTCTCGAGGCACAAATGGCTACAAGCGCTAAACCAAGGGAAGTCGGTTGAGGTCATTTCCATCGATTTCATTAAAACTTTGACAAAGTGAATCATGAGATCCTCCTTCGGAAGATGAACATGCACGGATTTGGTGGCCCACTGCACCAGTGGATCGGTGGCTTCCTTATTGGTCGGACGTGGAGAATGCAGGTGGACAACCACTTGCCCTAATGGTATTTCTCGACTAGTGACGTCCCGAAGGGCACAGTCATTGGGCCCATTTTGTTCCTGATCCGCATTAACGATTTGTCTCAGCTTCTCAGTTCACCTTACACGTTGTTTGCAGATGACCTTAAGGTATGGAGGGTAACTGAGACGTCTGACTACTGTGGCCTGCTGCAGCGCGACCTTGACCGCCTCTCCATGTGGTCAGCAGAGGTCAACCTTCCGATCAATCCGGTCAAGTCGCTCTTCATGAGCCTGGGTATGGGGGTGGTAATGGCCGAGTCTACAATCTGGCCGGCCAACAGTTACACCCATCGCCATCCGTGAAAGATCTCGGCATACTCTCACGCTGCGAGTTGAAATCCGTTGAAAACCCTAACAGGCTTTCCCAAAATGGACTATGCATGCTCTGAGCACTCAAACGCAGCTTTTTCACTTGGTCCGAGGAGGTTGCTAGCCGCCTCTTCTTTTATATCATCAGACCCATGCTAGAGTACAGCTCACCCGCTTACTGTCCGCTCACCCGGGGCGAGGTGCAACAGATTGAGCGTATACACTGTGTGGCCAAAAGGCTCATCCCCGATTTAAGTGTGCGATATGAAGACCGGTGCAAGAGACTAGGGCTGTACACCCTGTCTTATCATCGAATGCGAGTTGACCTCATCGTGACGCACCGGAGATTACATCTGGGTGACTACCCCATGTTGAGGCCATTACTTCATCTGCGAAAACCAAGCAGCACATGAGGACACCGGTACAAGCTTGTTGTACCGAATTTGAAGCGGGTCACTCACCAACTCAGCTTCGAGCTGAGGGTGGTGAATATTTGGAACAACTTTCCTGTAGCCATAGTCGAAGGAAAGTCAGTGTTGTAATTTAAGAAACTCCTGGACTCGCACTTTGCCGACGTGAGATTTCGAGAATAATCACCATCATAATAGGTAGATTTGCTTGAAAAATATTAGTTGTAGCTACACAGAGTTTTCTCTACTTGTTGCATTTTTTCAGTATTCTTTTCTTGCAGGTGGCCTGATAGTTCCATCTGGCGCCTTCGGTATCCTTGTTGGTGGTCTGATTTTGAACCGGTTTCATTTTCGCAGACGCGGTGAGTCTAGATATTCCGAACGTCTACTACTGTCCATCTCCTCATCCGATTGTATTGTGTCTTGCAGCCTCCATTTCTCTGGGCGAGTTTTTTTCCACTCAATCCACTGACATCAAATCAGCATTGTGATGAAGAAGCAATCAAAAGAACCATCACTTCCAGCTGTGTAACATCCCACTCCGATTTTTGTCGCCGGCTAATACCTTAACGCGCAGCAAAAAACTTCGAAACGGCTTTAATATCTATAGGACCCTTCTTCGTCCTAATCACGCAGTCGATGTGTTAGCTTCGCGGTTAAAATGATTCATTTTTATTCCAATCATCGGAAAATTCGCGGCACGCTTCTAGTGCTACAAGTGAGCTGGTTAGATACATGTCCATTCTGCTGATCTACACTGTTCTACTGCGTGATGTTTCTGAACCCTACTCTGACTACCGATGAAAATACAGACGTATTAGCAGTATCTCTTAAGCTTAGCACGATGAATTCCTGGGGTTATTCAAAGTCCCTAGAATTGTATGCACTGTTTTGCGTTTTGGACCGGGTAACTCATTTGGAGCTTCAGACGCCCATGCTCACCTAACTACTGTTTACCCTCTGTTGCCTTGCTTGTGTTCCGAAGACCGCAACCATCAGGACATAGCTACATGTCCGTGAATCTGGTTAGCCCTCAACCAATCCTCTCTCCTATGCACTGCAAATATTGTTTTCAACTCAAAGTGGCTCCTAAAAACATCGTCCATTTCACCTGCTACACTAGTTCAGTTTACCCTTTCTCTTTCGAACTACCTTTCCTTTATAGCCTACGGTATGCAACGAGACGCCACTATATCATCGGGCGCTCTTTCTACCGACCAGGTAGAAACCAGTGATCACACATAGAAATACCACTTTTGGGTCTCTCCTTGGTTGACTGTTGTTCTTTACTGATCGCACGCTGTCCAATGTGCTCAATTTTTACATGGTCTGCTTCCAAATTTTTGACACCATACCTCCACGACTTTTTTGCATTGCACTAGCATCCTTAACATGTTCTGGATGCCGAGATGTGTGCCAACTTACCTCTTGTGGGCTACGGTGGTGCAGGTGCTGTTTACTCCTTGATCTTTAGCTACAGCGATTGTCCTTTTGTGACACGAACCCAGACAGTTAGTGATTCGACGCCGTCTTATTGAAGAGCGAGTTTCATTGACAGACCATTTATGGTGATGCGTGCAAGTTCTTCCTCGTACTATCATCGCGCTCTATTGCGCTTATAACATCAGAGTCCACTTCACGCATAAGCATGCTGCCTTGTGTCTTGTTCTGGATAGGCACTTCGAAGCTCATACTTCCTTGCAGTGTTCTGTGTATCAGGCATGCTCTGTACCAATGAGAACGTGTTTTCATGTTCGTCCTTTTAAGCAGAAAGATCAACTAATCAATTCAATAATACACAATACATCAGGAAACTAATAGCCAGGAGTCGATCAACGCAACAAAAGAACCGGCAAGGTACACTCCGCTCCAGCCTGATACCTTTATACACTGCCAGTTAGGTCGATGCTCCATCGCAGTAACTCTAGATCTTACTTTGATACAATGGTTTGGGTGTCTCAACGACCCATCGAATTGTACTGGGTGGTGCTTTTTTACAACTTCAGATCCGTTCATACCAAATTGGTCAATGGCTAGACGCCAGACAAACTCAGTCTCCTGGTCCTCCAGGTTGGAGGTTGGAGTTAGGGTGACTTCTTACTTCATAAAACAAACTCTGTAGCTCAGTGCCAAAAACCCACTGCTTTGCAGTGAGGTTTTCGAACCAAAGGCTTTGCTTGAAAAACCGAATCGTTCTCCTGTCTAGGCGTGAGAAACCTGACAGTATCTTGCCCACTCAATGCAACTAATTTCTCCTTTAACCATTTCTTGATGCTCTGACCGTCGCAGAGGATAATCAACGGCGCTCTATCTTCCACATCGAGCGGGATGGATAGGGTTTGGATGGTACTGCTCAGGTACTTCTCATCTTATTCCCCCTTGTACATTTTTGTCTTTATCGACCCCTCCTTGCCCGCCCCCCCTGTTTTCAACCCAATTCTCTATAGTGTTACTTACGCGTGGTACCCATGATCACGATGTTTGTGGGTCGTAGCGGATACTGCAACCCAACGAATAGGTTGGATCCATACTCGTCTCTTCTGCATTCTAGTCAGTGCTGTTGAGCACTCTACCAGGCAACTTTACTACGCGTCATATCATTACACACCGACATAAGTCTTATCCACACTAAAGAGTACCTCTTGAGTTTCTTCATCCAAACATGGACTTCTGAGCAAAGTCGTCGTGGCCGTGTTATCCTTACATTTCATAGTACATTGTGTCTGAGACTCGACAAGCGGTTCTGTCCAGATTTTCATATTCACCATGATTTTAACCCCTGTATTGATGTCACGAAGGCAATATCATATTAGCCACACTCGTCGTTAATCATTTAGCTATCGGTTGCGACACCTGACATGTGGCTCCGGGCAGGCGGCGCGCCTTTTACAGAAAACGACACAAATGAACGATAGAACCAGAAGCGACGCGTCGCAAACGGTCTTTTGAGTGATCATTTCCATCAGCTTTTGCATTCAGCGTGCCCTTATGCTGTTTTTACTCCTGTTGCACATTATATGGTAGATATGTAGTTCTGTTAGATACCTCGATTATAGTCCGTGTTATGCGCGCAATGAAATGTCTTCTGATTCCTTCTGTACGCATTCTGTTACACTCCATATCGACTGCGTTCTGTATTGAACTCTATTCGAAAGGCCGGTGAAATGCGGTTTGTTGATTGCTACATAAGTCAATAACAGTTTTTGGAATCAGAATTTATCGACTCTACGCTTACTAATCAGAGAGATACTACGGTTTGTCCGTTTCATTATTTCGCTCTATTTCGTTACTACCTGGTTACAGATAGATACTAGCGCCTCGCACCGCCGTCGCTAAACCAGTGCCTCCGATTACTAACCACTGCCATCGAGGCTACCAACGAATGAATGTTTCACTGAATGCACAAAGCCAGTCTTAAGCAATACATACCTTTGTATTATAGACTATCTCCGATTTCGAAATGTTAGCCTGTGCACCGTAATCACACTTGTCACAGGATGCACACTTCGTGTCAGTTACACGAGCATGATCACGCGCCACTTGGACCACTGATGGTAGAATTGATACCACTTGTGGAAACATACCGGTAAGATGCGTAACTTCAGCTTTGTCTGTGCGCGCATCAGCTGATATGCACTTGTACTGAGCAGACGGTATTTGCCGAACGTTGGAGGCTATGGAAATAACACTTGACGATTACTGATGCAGACTGATAATCAGAAACAGTGATTGACAAATGGGCGATAAAGCTTGGCTGCACGTGCTTCTTTCGGGTGTGCATTGATTCGACTACCCCTCTGTGTCTTGTGTTACTTGCTCTAAAACTGAACCGTAAAAGCGAATTACAGCACCTTATTGAACTTGTTGGTATGAAGATTCTAATCAATACGTTTTCTCTCACTTTCTCCTCAAATTAGCAGATTTTGTTAACTTTTTGCGGCCAACGCAAGTGGTTTTCTCAAGTTGGCGTAGGTAAACGTTGGACGCTTTTTAATAAAGCACTAAAAGTGGCTCCTAACTCAAAGTGCGAATACACATCGAAAATCGAAAGCCGTATGATCTTCGTGATGCTGAGATCCGACATTAAATATTTAACTGAACCATTTCTCCTAGGTCTGCTAGTGGGTAGTCCTGCAGTTCTATTGTCGGACTACAATACTTCAGGTAAGTCTGAAAGCTGTGACTGCAGGCATACTACAAACGAGGGTAAGAGAATTGTCTGAATATGTGAAACGAGCGGTATTACTTGCTTTCTCGCTGGGAGAATAGCGGAGTAACCCATATGACATACGCAACGCTACCGATTGGCAAGCGCCTTCTGTAGCGGTCGACTGAAGATGTGTATCCTCCCTACCATCGTACAGCAGTGTTTTTGTCTAAATACAACTGTTAACGTGTAAGGAATCGCATCCTACCTCATTGTATACGTCTTAAAATCTCTTCGCAACTCCTTTCATCATTGAAACTGCACTTTGTCCTTGACAGCTTGCAGTCTGTTCTGTTTTGATTCTCTGTCACACTAAATGGATTTCTTTCCTGACCACCGCAAATTACGCTGGTTTTTTTTGTTTTTAATACCTCATCAGTTAATTCACTGTGACTCCATCTCCTCTCCCTACATCCGACTAATCTTTTGCTTCATAATCTCTGTCACTGCCTGATTCTGTTTTCTCTTCTTCATTCCACTAAACTCTTCTAGGGGCCATTCGTTTTGTTTTGATTATCAACACTGTTATCATCGGGTGCATCACCTCGTTCTTTTTTCTCGGCTGTGACAATCTTCGCATCGCTGGAGTCACTGTAGACTATCCGTCTATCGGGTAAGTTAATTGTTTTCACTTGCTATCTTCATCGTTCCACTTAATCTTGAGCTACCGCTGTGAACAGCTTGCATGTTTACAGGATCCACTTCATCAACACACTCAGGGTACCTAGTCCCCATTATCTGCCCACATCGGCGTGAGCATTTGCCATCTATGTCATCATATAGTATGGCAGCGGGTAAGAACACAGATTACGATGTAAACTTCTGCTTCGCTTTCAAGGTTATTTTGGGTCTCAGTTGTGCTTGCTCTTGAATACGCTCTCTCGAGTACAGCTAGTGATTAACTACTTATTTAGTTCGTATACACCATCTCTTCTTCCTTGTGCAGCAGTTTCTGATGGCGTCTCCCACCACTCTGGCTATTCAGTGATTTCATATACTGTGTCTTATTTATATCCCCATGATTGCCTATATAGCGTTGGGGTTACTTATTGGGCCGATACATTAGTGTTCACCTGATTCATCTTCTTTCCTATCCAATACTTGGGGTTAACTGGAAAATCTCACCCATTCGCATAGGGTTACATATGGTATGTGTGAACTGTTGATACCATATTGCATGCACTACTGGGCTTGAAGTTAACTCCTCCATACTGAGGCCTTCGTAAGTCTACTCCATTTGACGCGCTCATCTATCTATGCAGTGTCACCAATTTAAAGTCATTCCAACTTAAACAGCCAACGGTCAATGATTGCAAAGCCTGAGCCGCCCATTTTCTATATCTGGGTCTGGAGTGGTTAACATTCTGGTCCGCGTGAACCTTTTTGAGGGCGTGATTTGGACGCATGGGTTTTGACTTACTACTGCCTTACAGCCACGATCTGCGCCCGAACCAATGCACTTTCCGTAAGTCATCGCGTCTGTTACGTGTCCGGTGTTTCGAAGGTGGACGAATTATCACTGCTGTTGATCTGCATAACTTTCGATTATCTACCTTTTGTCTTCGTTCTGCTGCTTTGGATAAACCCACAGTCAACCTATTGTCGATTCCGGTTGTCAGCTGCATGCGGTCAGACGCTGCCGCCGGTTTTCTCCAACCCACTGCACACACTTCAGTATAGTTGTCAAATCAACGATCAGATTCTGTGGTCCACTAGTTTGATACCATGGCAGAAACGCCCTTTGTCGCACCATTTCATCTGCAATGTCACAATTCCAAATTTGGCTTGACTCTGGTTGATACCGAACCTGACACTGTGAGACAGCTTTGGGCGCTGCGCAGGCTTTCTTAGTCACACATGGTTGACCGATCTACGAAACGATTTACGCAATGCAAACACCGTTGTCGAGCCAATTAATTTCACTTCATACTGAGTGTGGTGTCAGCTTTGTGACCGAAATGATCATAAGTGACTTCTAGATGACCGACTGATTAACCTTCAGTATCCGGACGGAATGGCCCTCCTTGTGTCTGACGCATGATTATGTAAGCACTACTGAACAGACTGCCGCGTTGCGCTCCACTCTTCGATATATGCTTTGCACCTTCAGGTCCTAACGTACGGTTACAGGAGTGGGTCGATACACTGCCGGTTTTAGCTATCAGCGAAGAGTCACTGGAAATGGTGGATCAGTTCACTTACCCTGGTAGTTGTGTCACCTCTGGTAGTCACATCACCGAGGAAGTTACTTCGCATATCAGCATGATTCGCAAATCAGCATTTCAGAGCCTCAGTCATCTATGGAGTCGGCGGGCTATTAGACTGTCAGTGAAAAGTAAGGTGTACAACCCTGCTATAAGGCCAGTCTCAAGTGCCTGGCAAGTTCGCGGCAAAGACATTAAACTCTTGATCATGTTTGATCACAGGTGTTGCGGAGTATTGCTCACATCGGGTGGGAACATCGGTTAGGCATTGATATGGTCCACCAGTTGATTTTTCACACAAAGCCTTCTGGTACCTCACTTGTTTGCCGAGACTAGATCATAACATCCGTATGTCAGTTAATCGGCTTCTTCGGCTTGCATTATATGCTGTCTCTGCACCGAGTTCGGCGAAACCTCGAGGTGACCCATTGATGACATGGGCATAAAGGCATGGGGAAAATGACTGAAAGATTTGGTCAGGTAGGTGATTGCCGCCTTCGTAGATGGGCCCCTGGATAGTCCATACGCCTGCATGGCGTATTCCACGTAATCGTCAATGCTTTGTTTAAGTTTTGGAGGCTCAAACTGCCAAATCGCTCTGCGGAAAAGGCCTATTTATTGATTGTCGGTTGTCTGCGCCGAAATCGTATCTCCAGGTTACGCTCTTGAGATGCTTACTATAAGGTGTAGTTTCCAATTTTATTCACACTCACTGACTGGTGAGTTCTGTGGGCCACGTTACTGCGCTTAATTGCAGTACACTCCTCGTCCGACATTCATGGACACTACCCAGGTCATATTGAAAAAATTGTGATCTACATTGTTACTAATCGTTCACTATATTTCGATGTCTGCGGCTAATAGTTTGCAAAGTCGTTAAAAAATATCAGGAATAAGCGCGGTCACGTCACTGAACCCTGTGAAACACTATATTCCACCTCAGCTGGGTCGGAAGGTTGCTCCTGAACCCGCACTTGCAGCCTCCGCTGTCGGATGAAGTTGATGATCCATTCGGGGTCAGTGTTTCTGAATCCACTGCTCTGTACTCTGTGATCTGGACGATCGAAGGCCTTGTATTCGTTCAAGCAGCGATGGTAATTTTGACCCCATCTGCCTTTTCCATTCGGCTAACTTGTGACACTATACCATTTCCCGGTCAAGTTGTCCTCTTGGGCAACCGCGATAATATGAGGGGGCATTCAACATAAGTCTACTCAATTAATTTGTCCCGTTCGTATGCCAGTCACTTGTGCAGATGTGTAGGTGTGCGTGTATAGCCCGTCGCCTTCAGCCAATTGGACCTCAGACGCACTAAGTCATAGGGGTGCAGGTGGGACGCTTCAGCTCCTACGCACGGAACAAATTAATTGAGTAGACTCATGTTGAATGCCCCCCTCAGATTATTTCGGTTGCCCAAGAGGACAACTTGGCCGGGAAATGGTGTAGTAGGTTGGTGGTGCATAATCGGCATTGGCAGAGGCCATGCTGCTCCGATGCCGAAACGTTGCATTTTTCCCATTAGTTCACTAAAACCCATGCGACAATCTCTTCTATCACCTTCGAGAGCATAGGAAGAATAGCCAGTGTATTATAGTTTGCAAATTCAACACGGCTGTCACTTCAAAAATGGGGTGATAACTCACTGCTTCTTTAGTTGGAGCTTGTTTCTCACTCAAGATTTCTTGGAGGAATCACAACCTGCGGTAGGTTAGCTTCGTAGCTGTAATTTCCAAAATTCCCTGGTGAATGCTGTTGGCTCCAAGTGAACTGGGCATGCCGTGAAAACAAATTCGTTTGGCAAATTGGGTATATATCGGTGTCGATAAAATGGATGTTGATATGTAGCGCGGACAGAATACATGTTAGAGAAATTGGTGTATCCTAATCGCATACCATTGGCCGCTTCGTCGTCGCTTTGTTATCTACCATGTTATACTTTACGAAGGCTATTGACATAACTGTGCATTTGGTTACCGTTGACCTTAGACCTTTTGGCTATACGGTGTAGATAGGTAACTTTATCCCCAAGGATAATTGTGATTCTGGAATTTCTACCAATTTTCGGGATCAAGATTGGTCTTTTCTGCATGCCATGCTCCGTCCCTTACTGCTATGAATTTCCAACTCCTGCTTCTCATACATGATGGCGCCACTGCGGAGCAATGACTTGAGTTCCGACGCGCTTTCGATCATGTCGATGATTCTTTTCACAAACTCCGTCCACATGCTATCCAGTGAACTGTCGTTCGAGAACTTCTAAGTGGATGCCTAAACGAGTTCTGTTAGAAAGCAGTAGTACGTCTTTGCATGAATCACTTCCGCGTGTTCTGTTGGGTATTCTTCACAGAAAATATGGTCAAATATTATGGTTACTTCGTCACTAACCCCTAACAGAATTTCCATCAGTAGCTTTTCAACCTTGAGTTCCTGGATTTTGAGCTCGAAGTCCAGTGTGGACACCTTGTTTGCTGCTGCAAATCGACTGGACAATGGGACATGGTTGTACAGATAACTACACGCAGATCGGCATTGAATTGAGGCCCTTTAATCGTCTCTATGTGTAACGTGTGGGCGGCTGTTTGAGTAATCTCATCCATCCGACTAAAACTTCAGAAGTGTTTGTTATTTCTCTCTTTGGACTCAGTTTCCATCGCAGCTTCTACTACCAGTTACGATTTGTACCACCTGATCGGATCCATTTTCCAAGTTGAGTGAATTGTAAGCATTGTCAGGCATCTCAACTCTTCAGTTGTTCAGATTGGCAAACTGCACAGTTTTGGAACACTGTATCAACTGAATACTGCAATCGCTGCAACTGCGCGCTGACACTGAGCCCCACTTCTCACTGCCACTTGTTTTCGAGACATGAAAGAAAACATCACTCTCTTAATTTTTAGGTGACTCTCAGCTGCGCCTGCAACTACGCGCCATTTGGGAAGCATAGCTGTTTATGCCCATCTGTTTTAGAACCCTTCTCTCTTTGTTCTTCCACGTCAAATTTGTGAACTGTTCCTCAAGGGCCTTTCTTCTCACTCCACTGTTGCGTCGAGTAGGGTTGTTTACGTAGATTTAAAGCGCACCTGTCCATACCGTGTTCTGCTGGTTAACATATGTTGCCGGTGCCTCCACCTTCACCTCTGCTGCGCATTCAAGTCATTTCGGAAATACAGTAAAAACTCCAAAGTTGATTACCTTTCTATGTTGACCACTTTTTCGTAGCTTGATTGGTCACTATGTAAACCCTATGGTGCCAGACTTCTGTACGTTGACCACCTCTGTAAGGTGTATTTTGACTACTTGGGTTGTAATAATCAGTAATAATTCAATCTCCATAATTACAGGGTCAATTTTGGACTACACTTGGTGTGATTGGATTGCGACGCGCAATCCAATCCGTAGTTCCATCTGC